GGCGAGGAGCCAGGTCAGGTCCGAACAGATTGGCGGAGATTCCCGGGGCGCCGGGCTCTGATTGACATTTCTACGGGGCCGCAAGCCCCTCCTCTCTGCGCAGCACTCCCTCCTCTCGGCAGCCGGAGCTGCCTCTGCCCGCGCCTGGCTCCTCTCTGCCCTCTTCCCTCGGAGCAGTGTCGCGCCTGGCTTCCTTCGCCCTCCTCTAGTTTTACCCCCCCTCCTTGCCCTTCCTCTCTCCTCCCCTCTCTGTGCTCCTCTTCCCCCAGGATCGCTTCCGCCCCTCCGCGCTCTCGCACCCCCTGGACGCGGGGAAACTCTGTGCCTTCGCCCGCTCTCCTCTTTCTGACTATTGCTCCTTCTCGCCTTCACTTTTTCTTCTTTCACTTGTTCTGTCCTTTAAATCTCTCGCTTTGCTCACACTTTACTTCCTCTCACCCCTACCCCCCCCCCAACCTTTCCCACCCCTGTGCCTGAGCTAAGGCAGCCTAAAGTTGTGGACACTTAGGGTACTGTGCGGGGGGTGGATGTGTGTCCGTGCCTGTGTCTGTAGGTCCGTCCCCGCCCTTCCACCCCTTCTCTCGCCCTTCCCCAAATCTCGGGTCTGACGTTGCGCCCTCTTATTCGACTTTTCCTTGCGTCTCCTCTCCGAGTCGCCAATCGCCGGGGCGCCTTACAGGCGAGGCCGCCCACCCCCGCGGATACCGAGCGCAGGGCGGGGCGGGGCCGGGGCTCTGCGAGTCCCTTCCCGCCCCTCCTGCCGGCACCGGGAGGGGTAGCGAAAGGCGCGGGGACCCGGGTTAGTGAGGGGTCAGTTGGCTCCTCCCCGCTTCCCGCCCCTCCGCGCCTCTCCCCCTGTAGCAGCTCGGGACTTGGGTCCGGACCGGACCCTGGGCCGAAGCGAGCTCTGGGGCTGTCCCTCTGCCCCGGCCCCTTTTCCAGCCCACATCTCTCCACTCTCGGCCACTTTCAGCGGAGTAGGGAGGGAGAAAAGAACGCGCCGAGTCGTGGGTGGGTGATAAGAGAGTGCGGCCTAACCGCGGCTTCAAAGGCCACTCACTGCCCAGGGAGGCGAGGTAGCCCCCAACCCAGGAGGACAAAATCCTGAAATTAGCCGCATTCACGCCGTCCCAGCGTCGGTGGTCAAATCCCTCAGTGAAAAATGGCGCCTGGGCCCGGGGGCTGAAGGATGGACCCCTCGGGGATCTTGGGGAGCAGCCTTAAGTTAGCGTAGCCCGCAGGCGCCCCAAGAGGGTGTGGAATGGGGGAGAAGCAGGGAGCCAGAAGCTAGAAGAGGCCCTGAGAACTTTTGGAGGGAGCTTCGAGAAGTTTCTATATTGGCATTTTCGGTCTGGGGAGATCTTTCCTTTCAGGACCCCTATGCCTGCCCCCTTCTGCCCAAGCCAACCCCTTTTCTTTCTGCAAGGATCCTCCCACCGACTTGGGTGGGTATGGAGGCAAGACTTTTGGTTTTAGAGTGGGATATTTCCTAAATCAAACTTGAAATCCCAGGACTGGGCGCCCACCTTCGCGGAATAGGGCGTGCAGCCGAGAAATTCCTGCAATTGCAACGGCTGGCGGTTTATTGGTTAGGCCGCGTAGGCGACCCACGCGTGAGCCAGGCCTGCGGCGAGCGCCCCCCGGGGACAAAACGGGGGCAGCGACTGTGCCGTGGAGTGACCAGCCCCAACTCAGAGGAGGAAACCGGCCACCTGGCACTGAGTGATCCGAGGAGTAGAATCGGGATTCCTCCAGTGGAGGGATCTGAGGGTCTTGGCCCGGCAGTCTGATCACAGCAACTCTTGGGAACCCAGTTTCCAGCATGAAAGATGTTTCTGCCTCCTCTGCAGACAGCCAGCTTTAACCCCACGCCACCTCCCACCTCTCCTCTCTTTAAGATGTGGGTCTTGGCACAGGTCCGAAGCTCTAGTAGGTTTGGACACCGAAAATCTTGGGGCTGGGGAGCACTGAGGGAAAGGGGGGCGGATCTGAGGTGCTTCCTTGTCCTCTCCTGGTCGCCTCTGCCGGACGCTGGGTGACCTGGAGCCTCAGAAGGCTCAGGACATGGAATGTCTCCCAGGTGTCTGATTTCGTTTTCGGTTGAACTTCTCTCAGAGTATCCTGGGGAATATGGGGTTCACCTTCACTCGAAATATCTTGGGGTTACAAAACTGACGGTGACATCATTTCCAGGGATGTGACCTGGGTGTCAGACCCCGAGCCTCCATGGCCCTGATGTCCTAGTGTGTGCACACAGTGATGGTAACAGACCAGCGAGGAGATGAGAGAGAGAGAGAGACAGGTCGGGGGATTGGGGACGCACTGTAAGTGCGCGGGTGAAACGTCAGATATTTAATTCAGCTCCTTCAGGAGGAAAAGAAAAAACAATAATGAGCCTCAGAGATGCTCCTTCCGCATCAACTGGCTATCGACCGGGCTGTGTCGGACTGTGGGCAGTGGGAAAAAGGCCAGGGAAGGGCAAGGCTCTTCTCAGGGAACCAGGCAAGCTGACCTGGGGGAGCCCACAGCCCAAAGGGTAAACATCAGACCCAGACATGGACCCGAGAATCTCGAATTAGATCTGTCCAGGTGCCCAAGTCTAGAGCAGCAGCGGCCTTCAGGCTACTCTAGTTTCCAGCTGGAAGCAGCTCTGGCCTGGGCTGGCGATTTGCACCCCACGTGGAGACTCAGCGTCCCGAGCAGCCGAGACCCGACGTGGCACTGGTGCTCCAATTCCACCGAGCCAGTGGAGCCCAGCGCCAGACGGAACTCAGAGTCCATGGGCAGTCGAAACTTTTACAGGGATTTTTAATTCAAGATATATCAGGGTGACACAGGGTGAGCTGTTTGCGCGGAGAAGAAAAGCAGGTGCGAAAAAGTTTATTTGGGAAAGACATGCGCGCACAGTTGTGCCACACGCAGAAGTTCCCATCACCTCCCCTTCTTCCAGCGTCCCCAGAACGCAAGAGTGAGGAGTATTCGGAAAAAGTGGCCACGTACACACTTGGCGTGCATGCGCCGGACACTCTGCGGGACCCGCAGCCCGACGTGCGCCCCGGGCCTGCGGCCCTCCAGGCTCGGGGTCTGTGCTCCACACTGCACAGGAGCCCGGAGCCACCAGACCTCCTTCCTGGTCTCTCTCCGTCTAACCCCATGGTGCGCGCGCGCCCTTAGGGGGGAGCTGCCGAAGCCCTGGGTCTCCCTGCCCAGGCCCTTCCATCCTTCCCTCCTAGGCCCGGAGTCCCCGGGCGGCGGTGCGGGCAGGCGATCCCTGCGCTTCCGGCAGACGCCGCGGCGCGCGGTCCCACCGTTCCCTCCCCCCGCGCTCGGGTTACAGGTTAATGAAATGCTCGTTTTCCTCAGTCATTTGTTTTGTTTTCCTGCAAAGTTCTGATAAGTAGCTAACCAACGAAGCTTGTAATTACAATCTTACAGAAACCGGGCCGATCTGTATATAAATCTCACCATCCAATTACAAGATGTAATAATTTTGCACTCAAGCTGGTAATGAGGTCTAATACTCGTGCATGCGATAATCCCCTCTGGATGCTGGCTTGATCAGATGTTGGCTTTGTAATTAGACGGGCAGAAAATCATTATTTCATGTTCAAATAGAAAATGAGGTTGGTGGGAAGTTAATTTCTCTCCGCTCTGTGAAGCGTAGACAAGAATTTAATGATTTAATTACAGTTGTAAGCCCTTTCCATGAGACTTAAATTGAGCTGAGAATATTTTTTTTCCTTCTCTCTCTCTCCCTCTCGCTCTCTTTCGCGGTCTCTCTCGCCGCTATTAGCAGGCGCACGGACTCCCGAGTGCGTGGCCTGGAGTTGGCTCCGGGAGGGCCTCGTGTTTGGCCAGGAATCCGGACTCGCGAGCATCCCAGGAGGCGCGGTCCCAGGCCTTCAGAGCCGCTGCGGGCAGTGCTGCCGCTGCCCACCAGCCACCAGGGCCTCGGAGGCCCTCCCTGGGTCCGCGGAAACGACTGGGAAACTTTGGGTGAAACTTTGCCAACTTCGCTGCCGGCCCGGGAGAGGCTGCCGCCGGAATGGCCATAGCGGCTGCATGCAGGGTGGGCCCCCGGCCCGGTCTGAGTACCCAGGAGCGGACCGGGCCGCCCGAGGAGGGACGCGAGGCCGCCGGACTGGCCCTTCGCTGCCCCGCTCCGCCCCTGCGCCTCCCCGGGCCAGCCCATTCCCCTGGGTCTCAGCGGCCCGCGACGCGCAGCGCCCAGAACGGCCTGGAAAGATCAGTCGGGCACTCAGCGCGAATGATTTTATTTTCTTTACCTCTCCGGGATTATCTTTTCCCACCTGACTCGAGCAGTTCCGCCCTCCCCCCTCACTTTCTTTGTTTTTCTCTCTGAGTCGGGCTGTCCTTCGCACTTTCTGAATATTCGATTTCTAGGTCATCCATTTTCCTCCTTCCCTCCCTTCCCTCAGGTTTTTTGTTGTTTTACACATTTTCTTTCGGCCACTTCCAGTTCACTTTGCTCCTCTCGCCTCCCTCCCTCTTTCTAGCTCCTTTTCCGTCTCCGGGAGTCCCTGCCTGTGCTCCTCTCCCCCAGCCACATTTTCTCGGCTTTTTCCTCCTTCCCTCCTTCCCTTTCATCCTAATCCTTTCCTGTTCCCTCTTCAGTTTCTCATTCTGGCTTTCAGGTTCTCTCCTCCTCGCATATTCTCCTCTTTCCCTCTCCAGGATCTGTCCCCTCCTCCGTGGATCTGGCCCCCGGGCGGCCCCTCCTCGTCTATCTTGGGAGAAGAATTTGTCGCCCTATTGGACGCCGAGGAGGCCGGAGCCGGGCGATGGGGCTCGGCCAGCGTCGCGCAGTTTCTTCATGCATATTGAGGAGATGGTAATGAGCGCGTTTGCATTGTTGCTTGGAAATGCTGTGCTTCCTGCAGCTAGCAGTTCCGAGTGGGCTAGGATGGTGCGGACCCAAGAGAGCCCAGCCGTAGGCCCCAGGTCTGGCGGCCACAGCTGACCCCCAGAGGATTCGCGGGTCCTCCGGGCTCAGGGGAGAAAGTGACTTTGCCCAGAGCCTGCACCGGGTTGGGCCGCTGCCTCCTCTGGCTTCTGGACAAAAGGCCTGACCGTGCTCCCCTCATTAAAGGCTCGTTACCGGGACCCCCGCCTGGCTCCGGACGGTTCCTCAGAGCCCCCTGCCCACTGGCCTCCGAGCCCCTCCCCTGATGTTTAGAGGCCTGCGATGGAGCGCCACCAGAATATTAGCGCCTGACAGCGTCGTCTGATGGCAATAAATTGTTTGCTCTTTCCAGTGACACGTCTGGGGGATCAAACACAGCCGCATTGTGGACCCGGTTCTGCTCACTCCTCGTTAATCTTGGAGGGCGTGTTGGCATCGCTTGACCAGGAAAGGCTGCGCCCAGGCCCTTGGACGGTCAGGTGCCCATTCCTGCCTGGGCTTAGCCAGGACAGAGCCCACTTGGTCATTGAAGAGGGGAGGTCTGCGGAGCTCCAGAGGCGGGAGTCAGGCACACCTCTCTATCAGTGGAAGGTTTGTGAGAGCCAGGGACTTCGAGGGCACCAACTCTGAGTGGAGCTTAGAGGGAACCCACGTGAACCTCGCCAGGAAACCAGAATGTCAAGTTCTGGCCTTGTCTGGAATTGTCTAGTCTCACGGTTCCCAAACTTCAAGCTTTCGGATAACCCCTCTATTCTTTACTTAACATTTTCCTTGAATTGACTTATTTTTAAAATGCAAATATATGTATATTAGGAAAGAAAACTTGATACTACTACTCCAAATTGAAAAGGAGCTGTTAGTCACAGGAACAGGAAATTGTACAAGATAAACACAGCTAAAAATCAAGTAATGTTAATACACATTATCCGGGTTGGTTGCTTGGGAACAACTGCTGGAGGTTCAGGTTGTGTGTGTGTGTGTGTGTGTGTGAGAGAGAGAGAGATTAGCAAGTGTTTGAGGTGTTAAATACTGAATTTTTCTCAGAAGAAATGAGAAAATTGAAAAGAGAATGTTTTGCGCTATTCAATATTAATTCAGTCCAATGTTTATTTAATTTCCTGTTTCCGTACTACACTCTACCTAAAGTCATGTTGGAGATCTCAAGAGCTGCTCTGGGTTAGGGTTATTGGGGAGCATGTTAAAAACTTGTGATAAAAACATAACACTTAAATTTATTATTACTGTTTACCAAATGATTGTGTTAAGCATTTGGTTCTCACCGTAAGCCTGTAAGGGAGAGAGAGATGATCCAGGTGGCGGTGAACAGTTGTGCAGGATGGTCACTGAACAAGGGCACCCAGCCAAGGGGCTAAAATGGTCTGGAGTCCAGCCCTGCTGTGCTCATCAGGGCTCTGTGCCTCGGCTTAGGGCTGCACGAGGGGAAAGGTACCTTGTAAAATTTTGCACAGAGTTTGCACCAAGTTAGGGTATGACCTATCCTTTATCTCCAGAGATGGATAAACTGAGCCTTAGAGAGCTTGGCAAAGCCCAGACTGGAATCCCATCTGGAACGCTTCACTATGATGTCTCTGAGAGGAAGGTCAGGTCTT